TGGCACCAACAACCATGCCACGCTCAAAATTGCTTAAATCACCTTTCTTTCCCATTCTGACATTCAGTTTGGAGTTCAGGAGATTGTCTTGACCAGGACCACACCCCTAAATGCATTGAAGCAACTGCCATGTGATTAGTTGATTAGATAATTGCATTAATGAGAAATTGAACAGGTGTTCCTAATAATCCTTTAGGTGAGTGTATATATATTTGCACACACACAATTTTGTTGGTTATTTATTTTTGATGTGTGTTTCAGTAGCATCCACACGTACAATAATGCGAAAAATGGACCCAAATCAAACTAAAAGTCGTTCATACACCAAACGCATGATGGAATAACCTTGACCTCTCCCACTTCTTCTGAATACCTGTGAGATCTTATGAATGAATTTTTAGGTCTCCTTACGGCCATTGCATTGATATCATTCTAATAAAATCCCCCAAACCATTCTGTTTTTCCCCAGCTATTTAAAATTCCAGACACAAAGCAGGCTTCGAACTGTATGTTTATTACACTCTCTTTTATATCCCTTTGATTGTTTAGCTAACGGGCAATATTGCACAACGTCAGTATGCAATGCATGTTTTTATGGCACTGGCCAATGGGTTTAATTTCTCTAGAGAGATAGCAGTAGTGATTTAGACGCCATAATGGCTGGCAGAAAGTTAATTGCCGCCACCTCCGACATGTGGAGATGGAATCAGAGTAGCTCTGACTTGCGGCAGAATGTCTTCCTCTTTATTGGGCTGTTAAAACCGTAGTGAGGTCACACTTACAGTCTGCTGTGTGCATTGTATCTATGTGTGTAATAAAACAACAAAAAGTTGTTATACAGTTGGGTTTATTTCAGGGAAAACGCTATCGATTCATGCAAACATTTCATCTACTATATTTGCAATCAGAAATGATACATTAAAACTAAATGAAATGTTTAATAGCATTGCAATCCAGTTTTCTTCTTCAGTCAACAGCACAAGCCGCATGATTGCTCCAAGTCCTGCATCCCTGTCACTGTTTTGACAACTTGCACGCTGGGAGGATTCAATAGGTGGAATTAAATGGTAAATAAGCAGCTGACAGTTTAGCGACCTCTTTGAACGGCAGTGTCACCAGACACAGCTATGTCTTCACAGTGGCTTTAATAAGCTTGTCATTTTAGTCCTCACAGTTAGTGGAGGGTATTAAGCTTTGAGCCTTGGCTTACATTAGCTTACATTCTTTTAAATCTGCAGGCCATCACTGGGTTCAAGTTCATTTGTAGGAATGCATAGAAATTTTTTTTAACTACCTGAAGTACATATTAAATCATCTAAACAAATAACATCCAGCTATTCTCATAATTGCTGGTTTTTTAATGTCTCTTGCCGTACAACAACATTGTCTCGATAAACCCACCGCACACTGTATAGTACTGAAAACATCAATTTGCTTAGAAATTTCACTACCTATTCTACTTCCCTTTTCTTTGTTTGTTTGCTTGTTTACTTACTGTGTAAGCCAATGATGGGACAGCTGATGTGGTACTTAACAATCATATTGACCTGATGGTTAGTGGTTGAGTTTGCATTGTCCTATTTAAACAAAAACACCCTCAGTGGTGGTTCCTTGCAGTATCTCATTGGTTCTGAGCCAGATATGTTCCAATTTCCTCAGAGAAAGTGTCCAGATTGGGAAATGATATCTAGGCCAGGGTCCAGATACACATTGGACCTGTTCAATTTCTTCTTGGTAAAGTTCTGTTTTTTTCTTAATTAAAGCAATATGTGTATTCAAAGAATTACATTATTAAATTAAAATTTTAAAGGATCATAATTTGTTCAATTTAAATATTTAATTGTATAATTTTATTTATTATATTATTTAACTTATCATAGCTATTTATTTACGTATGTATGTATGTATGTACAGTATGTATGTCCAAAGTGACATACAAGCCATGGCAAAACTTCTCAGGATTGTGGCTGGGCTGAACTTCCATTGAATGCCAAGTTAAAAGTGAAAGCAGCATCAGAGCAACAAGTAACACTTTACTTGAGGGGGCATACATACTTAGTAGTGACTGAGTTACTACTGAAGACCAGATCACCAAAAATTCTAGTAGCTACTTCAGATAAAAGTGTCATGATTCATTAATTATGATAAAACATGAGATTAGTATTTCACTTGTGTCATTCATGACTTGTTCCTTCAGTAGTTGACAAAGGTTTACAGAATTAACAGCTACTGTATAGTAACAATTATAGTAACTTCCTGAGATAAAATGTGTCACGGTTCGTTAATGATGAACTAGCATAAGATCAGTATGTAACTAAGACTCAGTTTGTTGTTAATTAATACATAAGCAATAACGTAATACTACATTATTTGTGCCCCCTCAACAACAGCTTACCAAACAACAGCTATAGAACACCTTGGTAAAACGGTAAATGGATTGCATTTTATATAGCACATTTTTGCTACTCTTTCAAGAACTCAAAGCACTTTACAGTTATGCCTCACAGTCACCCATTTATACACACATTCACACACCAGTGGCAGAAGCTGCCGTGCAAGGTGCCAACCAGCTCACCAGGAGCAATTTGGGGTTCAGTGTCTTGCTTAAGGACACTTCGATGGGGTCAGGAGGACCCGGGACACAAACCTGCAACCCTCCGGTTGCCGGACGGTAGCACTACCTCCTGCATCACCATCGCCCGATCGACCTTCCAACACCTTTAATTAGTAGCGCTTTACATTAAGTGCACCTTCATAATGCATTCATAGAACATTCATAAGCAGCATGCAAGTACACCTTACAACTTAACATTCCTTAACAGCCTTAATATATATTAATAATAAGCATTATATAATTATTATATAATGCATGTTATTAATGTATATTACATCTGTTAAGGGATGTTGGGATTTTAAGGTATACATACATGATGTTTATGAATGTTTTATGAAGTCTCTTACTTAATGAATACATTATGAAGGTGCACTGAACGTTTAATGAATGCAATATAAAAGAATTATGAAGGTGCAGTTAATGTAAAGTGTTACCCTTTAATTTGACATATGCTTTGATTTTATCCCAGCAATTTGGTGTCATTTTGGTCTGTGGGGGAAGTAAAAATGCTTTAGCAGAAGGTCAATGACAGCAGCACCAAAAATAATTGATGATATTTTTATTTTATGAGCCATTACAATCAAAAAGGCCACTTTGCTGTTCTGCTGTTGTTGTGGACCAAAGTCTTTTACAAAATATGCTTCTATTTTACAATGATTTGTAATAGTTACTGAATAATGTTACGGAATGGAGTACTTTTCATCTAATTTTCTTACCTTTTGTTTGCCCTGAATTCTCTGAACTGTCCCAGTGAAAAGTCCTGCCAGCAGCAGCTTAACTAGCATGTCTGCTGAAATATTCACAACCTAAATTTCAAAATAGGCAGTATAGCAAAACGATTAATCAACACGCACTTCATATTGCTCTGCATTTTTTAAGTATATTGCATTCAGATCAGATTGATGGTTGACATGATGGATGGTTGGCACACGAAGACATTTTGAGCTCAGGGTGCTGAAAATCGATACGATCAATAGACTTTACTGAAGTTCTTTTGTATCAAAGGCAACTATCAACAGCCAACAATGTAGTCTTCTTGCAGAAATAATCAAAAAGTCTCCTCTGAGGCACAGGGAGATAATGTAACGCTGTGTTTTTCTGTCTACTGTACCACCGTCAACTTGAACAGCATCGTCACCCCTACGTCCTGCACCACTGCTGAGCTGAGCACCATAGCAAATAACTTTCATTTCTGTATCCGATGTGCAGGTTACCTATGGAAGCTTTAAAACAGAATCACAAGATTAATTTTCCTATTATGAGAATGGCCTTCAGCACTGGCATTCTTGGCATCCACAGGGACCCATCTGTACACATCATTATATGGATGTATATAGAAATGTGAGCTAATTGGCCCAAATCTAAATCCTTTTTTGTTCAATGGAGCAAAAGTGCCTGCAACCTTTTTCTCACTAGTTTTATATTCTGTGTTTAACTGCTTTCTTGATACTATCCAAGGGGTTTTATCTGATAACGGTTGTCCTCTAATATTCAATTTCTGTGTGAAAGTACATAAAAGTACATTAAAAAAGTAAATAGACAGATAGACAGACTGAGCAGGTTAGCTGGTGTTTAGGTGGTTAATCTGCTTCATTATCCCCTGCTTTGCTTACCACTGACCTTTTACAAGTTATTTCATTTTCAAATCACAAGAAACATTTCAATGTGAAGCTCATGCCAAACATTTACATTAAAAAGACGTTTTGCAAAAAAAAAAAATCAATAATATTTTAATATAAATATTCATTTGCACTTGTACTTTGGCTAATGCACATGATTGTAAAAACAAAATAAAATTCCTAATATAACACGCTTTAGCTCTATCAATATTTGTAATTTAGAGGCTGTTGGTAGAACACATTGTGGTCACCAGGTCAGCGAGGAGTGGTGACTTGTGCTTGGCATTTATGGGGGCTAAGTGAGTATTTGGCAAAGAGAGACACTAGTCATAGACTACACCTATAAAAGTTTTCACCCACTCGTTTTCCCCTCTGCAGAGAAATTGAATAAACATCTGTGCATTGGTGTGCATCTGGTCAGGAAATCAAAACAAATCTAGATTTTGAAAATGTATGCACACACATTCTTTGAATTATTCACTAATGATCCATATATACCCATTATAATTATTATGAGTTCTACTGTTTTAAATGGTAATTTAAAATGTATTTTTACACATTCAGCAAATTCTCCCCACTTTATCTGAGTTTGCTCGCATAACATGACATCGCATAATACGGCATAATAAGAGATACCACACAATTTTTTTTTTTTGTTCACTTTATTCTGCAATATGAACATTATTTTATCATATTCAAATGTGTATGAAAAAAGGTAAGTCACTGATTTTTAAAAAGCTAAATACAATAAGCATTGGATCAAGGCACATACAAGACTGGCCAAAGGGCATACAATGCACTTTGGTTTTCAGTTGTAAAAGACAAATAACTGTGATGCCTGGCAACAAAAAGTGCATGAATTAAAAAAGGAGCAGATTACAAAAAGACACTTGACAATGTTGCAAAGAAAAATGCAGCTTTCTGTGATGGTTAATATCAAATATAATAAACTGAAATGTTCTGCCTCTTTGAATGTTTAACTGCAGACTTTCATCCATTCTGATACTAGTAAATTTAACAGAATAAATATTTATGAATTAAAGCTCAAAATTTGCCAAATACTTTCTACATCTTTGTTAAGATAACACAATTTTATTTTTGTATTTTTTTAGGTGACATGGGGGGTGTTCTGTCTGTTTTCCATTACATTTTTTGCTCATGTTGTGTATATATAAAACATAACCTTTAAAAATCCTGTGCTTTTGCTAGTTTTGCGGTGAACTGACTCAAATTGAAAATGTCTGATTGTTCAACACATTAATAAAAACCCACTTTCACAGTTTACAAGTCATGATATTTTAGCTGAACATTAACCTTTAACCTTGAGAATACAATACAAATTACTACAAATTTCTAAAATATATAAGTGCAGTTGGTTACATAACACCGACCGCTTTCTAAACCTGCAATCTAAACCTTTCCTCTTAATAAAAAAAGTTTTTAAATATAAATATGGCAAATGTAGAGAACATTGCTACTTCAATCTGTCAAATCCAGTGTTTTGCAAAAAAACTAATAAGTTCAGATCACATTAATTTTATACAATGGTTTTACATGGAAATTCATTATCATGAATGAGCATTATCTAAGTCTGGTATCCCACTGTCTCTGTAACTTCTGTTGCATGTCTTTTCCTTTTCTGGGATCTTGTACAGACTCAAGCCATTAGATGGGAAAATTGTATGTATCATAAACTCCTCCTTGGATGTGATGCCATGATTTATTGGTATCATTTGAAACGACGCATCTCTGATTTCCAGGATCGTGTTGTCCTTCTTAGTTCCTGCCTCTGCATAGTCATCTTTTCTTCTCCGACCCTTATTGTAGTTACAGTGTCTTGAGAAGTGAGACCCGTTCCTGTGGACGTACCATACCACCAAAGCTACAGTGATGATTAACAGGAAAGCGCCGGCTCCTCCAATTATTGTAACTAAAGGTACACTAAAATTTTTATAAAGCTCCTTCTCCTGCTCCCGGTTCAGAGTTGTTGTGGTTTTGTATGCCTTTTGAGATCCCGTTTCTGTTTCTATACAGACAGGTGTTTCATCAGACAGATAAACGTTACTGGTATCCATGGGAACCATGCATATCCTATATGGAGATTCTGGCTCTAGAGCAGTCAGCAAATATTCAGTCCTTTCTCCTTGGACTATAGTCTCGGTGATGGACCCAAACGCAGAGCTGTGTCCCATCTTCAGCCAACTAAGCCGCAAGGCAGTCATTGGGTGTGCCACTTTCCAGGATATTTGCACAGTCTCTGCGCCACGGGACTTAACACTGAGGGTAATGATTTTGCTGCCTGAGGGAGTGGTGCTATGATAGTGATTGCTGAGATCAGGTCCCTTGACTACAGGTCTTTTTGTCACAAAAACAGGCCATTTTCCTCGAGAAGGGGGTGAAGTGTAAAACACAGTGCTAGTGTCCAAAGTGGGAAGGATTTCTGTGCAGTCAAAAAGATCGGTGGGAAGGTCCTTGACAGCCATTCCTTTGACTTTGTCAGGGCTCTGGCACATCAAGCCACGAACGTTGACCTTAGCGGGGAGTGTACGTAGCCAGTCCTGCACCCATTTCATCCTGCAGTCACAGTACCACGGGTTATTGCGGAGCAGCAGCTGTGTAATATTGTCCAGGTCATCAAAGAGGCCCCGCGGCAAACTGCTTATGTTGTTTCCGGAGAGATCCAGCCGGTAAAGCTGTCGAAGGAAGGCAAACGCCCCCACTGGCACCACCTTGATGTGGTTGTCCTGAAGTTGCAGCTTCTCCAAGCTGGTGCTTGGCAAATTAGCAGGCGGAGTCGTGAAGGAGTTGCGGACCAATGAAAGCTCTGTGAGGTTGATCAAATTCACGAAAGCCATTTCTCCTATTCTCTTGTTGTTCAAGAGATTGCCATCAAGCACCAGTCGTTTCAGATTAATGAGGTGCTGCATGGCTTCCTCGGAGATGGATGAGATGCGGTTGTCATCAAAGCGGAGCTCTTCAATGCTCATAGGAAGTCCTATTGGAATAGAGCTCAGATGATTCCGGGACAAGAACAGCAGCCGGAGATAGTTGCTGTCCCGGAAGGCTCCTTCCTCAATGCTGACAGCAGATACGGAGTTGTCATCCAGGTGTAGTTCCTCAATATAGGGGATCTGTGCAAGTGAGGCATAAGTGATAGCCCGAATATTGTTCTCTTGTAAATGCAGCTCCTTGACATTTATAGGAAGGTTTGTGGGGAACTCATCAAGATTGTTGCAATAAAGATATATCTTCTCTACCTGGGTGAGACTACGAAGTTCTGCAGGTATGCCAGAACTTTTAATACGATTGTTCTGCAAGTACAGTATGGTAGCATCTTTTGGTATGCCCAGTGGGATGGAGGTAAGATCTCGATCATTGCAGTAGACAAAAGTTCCATCACATCGGCAGGCTGATGGACAGGAAGAGGAGCTCACTGACTGACTGTTCTGGCTCAGAAGTAGCCCAATTCTGATCAGGAAGAAGAGACAGCTGTTGTACTTGCAGACCATTCTGAATGTTTGCTAGCTGGCCCCTCCCACACTGTCCAAGAAGAAAACACACAACACAAGATTATTACTTCACTTACTTCATTTCAAATTCTGTTACTGTTCTTTGTTGAATTATTCGTTTTATTTTTAGCTTCTCATTGATATACTTGTCTTAGGTAATACCTAACTTGCTAACATTGTGTATCTGCTTATATGATTTTAGGCAAATAAAAAAATATTGTTTAATGATGTATTTTATTATTACTGCAAAATTCCAACATTATGTCAGTCAAACTATGCTAGCTTAGCCATTCCAGAACCCGTCCTCAAGGTCCTTAGGTTCTATGCTGGCACTTTGCGCCTTTGCAGAAGTGGTTTGTTGGTACCCCCAAAGGTAGATGAAATGATAGATTATGTGTGCATCAGACATGTGCATTAACACATAAAGAAAGTAAGATGTATTTTTTTTTTTGCAACCCCCCCCCCCCTCCTCCCCCCAAGGGGCAAACATTGAACTCCATCAATGCCCCAGTATTTGCAATAACCATCTAGTATATCAGTGTTTTTGTTGACCACCATGTTTGCCATATCAATACCTCTATAAAACTATATGACTAAGTCAATTGAATGAAATGGTGGTGAAATGTAATGAGTACATGGATGGAATATATGGTTGGGCTGCCCTTATGGAGAGGTTTGGGAAACAAAGTTAGGTTTTCTAGTAATATATCAATGACGGTGAACAAGAGGAATTGTTAATGCATTTTTATTGTATGACTGTTCATTTGCATATATTCTAGTGTTATTTTTTTCTAAGCAAAAGTGTACTTACTACCGCGATTAACAGCTCTAAACATTATCTTTGACTGCTTAAAACGGTAGAACAGTACTGTTTATATAGTTACTGTTGTGTATCATTTTATTTAATTTTCCCACCTTTAACTAGATGTGTAACTGGAAAATCTAACTTGGTCAAGCTAGGCAAATTATTCATCATCAAAATATTCTAGCTGCTAAAAATCATAGACGTTAAAATAAAGTTAATACGTTATATAAAAAATGATTTTACTCTGCACTGCAATTCTGTTTATTTACTTTGTAAGGTGAATACATTATGGAATTATGGTGAAAGACACAAATAACCCACAATTATAATATGTTGATGTGAAATTATATCCTTATGGTAAATGAATAATTAACAATATTTGTCTGTAAAAAAGGTTTAATGAAAATTATCATGTTTTGATTAAATTCCATGTTATAGATGTCTGTTTTAATGATGGTTAAATAGCAAGGAATATATAGATGTAGCTACTAAATGTAATATGTTAAAATAATTTATTACATGCATTTCCTTTTTAACAATACATGACATACACAAGAAACTAATGCAAATGTTTAGGTCTTCCGTCTGAAATCACATTTCATTTATATCACATGAGTAGTTCTAACTAATATATACAAATATTCACATATTAATAATATTAATATAGGGTCAATATACATACACGGGGTGTGTGTGTGTGTGTGTGTGTGTGTGTGTATGTGTATATATATATATATATATATATATATATATATATATATATATATATATATATATACTTCATGACCCTTATCAGGATAACTAATAACAACTGGTTTGATAGATGGACATGCATAAATTACATGACTTTGCCATAGACATCAGAGTTCTCATGATAGAGTTAATGATAGCATTCATTTAGGTAGTGATTTTTATTAAAAATGTATAATTACCATATTGCATTTCTGTATAAACACAAAAGGGACTAATTATTATTTCACGTACCTTATTGAAGATGTGAATCCTAACAGCGTGGATGTCCAATTGCAATTTTCTTATCTTGTTAACTTTTACCCTTTTTTCTTAAGCATACTTAATTAGCGTGGTCTGGGGTCCCTTTGGTTGTATCCTATTTGCACCAGTGGCCTTTTGACTTGTTCCCCCGGTTCTCAGCATTCATCCCTCACAAAGGTTTCTCCATGCTGCATAAGCACATAAAAGCACCTCTGCTTGATGACGAACCTTAAGCCTCCAGCTCCTGCACAGAAGAATGTGATTTGCGGAATATTAAAGCCCTTGTGCTTGTAGAATCCTTTTATTGGTGGGGCTAGCAGACGTGACACAAATTATACCCTTTGTATCTTTCCAAGGGTCCACTCTGTGAAGCGGACAAGGACAGCACCTCCTGTCTCACATCAGGGGGACCATTCATGTTCCTGTGACCCAAACACCAAGCTGCAGTGTGCAGTCGAGCATCCAACTATATATCTACCATAGGACTGAACTAGCGCTCCTTGTACTGATCTTCAACCCTGGCATCTCCCCTGTGTGCCTTTCTCCTGGACTGAGCTAGATTTCGTACTCCAAAATGGGTCTTCACGGAAATGTTTTCTTCAGCTCAGCAATTCTTTGCAGATACTCTCTTGCCATTACTCCACCCTTCGCCACACGGCAAAGGCCGAGAACGGAGTCACGGAGCCGTGCCGTCAGATATGCAGCGTGGTTGGAGATGCTTCCCCATGTCCGCTCCTTGAGTCAGTCTCTGAAAGAACAGTGTGTAAATTTGACAAAATTAGCAGTGCTACTCTTTCGAGGTTGAAGTAAGCAAAAGGAAAATTATCATTTTTGCTGCATTTCAGTGAACCTGAAAGGTCAAAGCTGAATAGTTGATTTCTGGATGGGATCTTGACGTGGATATTTCTGTGAGAATTAGGGAAGGTGTGGCTATCACAAGGGAAAATGTCAGGTGATTTTTGCATTGATGAGTTCCACCTTTCCTCATTTCTTTAAAAGGTATAATTGCCATGTTAAATTTTCTTTGGCCCCAAGAAAACAGCCTATATTTATATGCACTTAAATAGTCATTTTATTTGTTTCCTTCTGCATGGCATTGAACTCAAAAACGAAAACCACTAATAAACTAGGATTCTCTGCCCAGTTCCTGTCTCAGGTCATTCTCCTCACTGTCCTGACCAAAGGGGTTCTCTGTAATTACAGTTAGAAGGACATAGGTGAACATTGTTGAGAGAAGAAATATATATATCTCTGTCATAGTTGGAAGATGCATTTTGCCTTGAACCTTTCACAAACTGAAAGAGGTCAGCCAGTAAACACCACTGCATTTATTAAATTCATAGACAGAGGGACAGTGCTTGCTTGTCACCCTCCAACTAGTAATTACCATCTCCAGACAGGACGTATAAAATGGCTGCAAAATCATAAGTAGGTGCACAGACTAAAAGGTACGGTATGGACTCAATGACATCCAGTATGGGAATCAGTGCGATTTTCTACCCTCATCCTTTCTAATGCTGATAGTAAATAAAAACAAAATCATTGCGTATCAAAATGATTTTACTTTAGGCTAGGTTTCAAGGTATAAATATGGTGCAACCTGAGAATGTCCTTTCTGGAAGCCTGCGGAGTTTATGAAAATCTTTTCATCAGACAGCATACAAGTGAAATTTCTAGCTCTTGTGCTCAAAAGAGAAAACGTTAAAATCTTCATGATGTATCTAATCTAACAATGTTTTCCTGATACTGAAATAAGCTTATATGAAATTATATGAATTTTTTATATAATTCATATGCAATGAACTTTCTTGCTTGCTTACTTAGCTTATGTACTATTATTTCACAATTTAAAATATGTATTTTTAATTGTCTTGCTGCTGTTTTTAGACTTTGCTAAAGTAATGCTCATACTGAAATTACATTCCTTGTATATTTATAATATACTGTATACTTATATTTTAAATGTAATATAGCATTTAATAACATGTACCCCCTTTCCTATGGCACATAAGCAGACTTCATGTTATACAATTGTCTGTTCAATGTATTTAATTAGAGAAGATTGGGGAAGGACTTATTTAATTTTTTCTGAATGCTGAATATAGCAATATACTGTAGAATGTACCTTTACTACTGAAATAAAGGTAGCTGATTATGAGAAAGACCTTGGTGTGTATGTTGATGCTTCCATGTCTCATTCTCGCCAGTGTGGGGAAGCAATAAAAAAGGCCAATAGGATGTTGGGGTACATCTCCAGGTGTGTGGAGTTTAAGTCAAGGGAGGTAATGCTAAGATTATACAATTCCTTGGTGAGACCTCACCTAGAATATTGTGTACAGGTTTGGTCACCATATCTTAAAAAGGACATAGCGGCCTTAGAAAAGGTGCAGCGTAGGGCCACAAGAATGATTCCTGGTCTTAGAGGAATGTCATACGAGGAAAGGTTATTTGAGCTAAATCTGTTCAGCCTCAAGCAAAGGAGACTGAGGGGGGACATGATCCAGGTCTATAAGATTCTAACAGGTTTGGATGCTGTTCAACCGAATAGTTACTTCAGCATTAGTTCAAATACAAGAACTCGTGGCCATAGGTGGAAATTAGCGGGAGAACATTTCAAACTGGATTTAAGGAAGCACTTCTTTACACAGCGTGTAGTCAGAGTATGGAATAGTCTTCCTGATAACGTAGTGCAAGCTGAATCCTTGGGTTCCTTTAAATCAGGGCTAGATAAGATTTTAACAACTCTGAGCTATTAGTTAAGTTCTCCCCAAGCGAGCTCGATGGGCCGAATGGCCTCCTCTCGTTTGTATAGTTCTTATGTTCTTATGTTCTAATAGAACTCTACTCTTCTCTAGCACAATAACTTTGTTCCTGTAATAGAAGAGAACCATACATGTGTGAAATAAAATGCATCTCATAAACATATGTTTAGACATGATAATTAGGGGGCAGAGACAGGAACTCAGTTGAGGAGAGCGGTTATGGGAAGACAATTTTCTTAAAACACATGTGCCTTTTTTGGTGCAGGCAATGGAATAATTGGAAACAGAAACAAAAAAATTAAAATGATTTAAAAATCCAGTTCATGCTGCACTCTCCCCTAACATAGTGCATTTTGTGTTTATTTTAATTGCAGGGAATCATAGTTAATGAGTCTGTCATCACTCTGTTGGACTGTGGTGTTGTGGGAAGCTAAAAAAGGGAAAATTATGGAGTAGATGTTAATTTACAGAAATAAACTGACTGATAGTGCTCAGGACATTTCCAGAACAGGTCTAGACTTTGAGGTCAAGGTAAGCATTTACTCACTCACTCACTCATAACATAATTTAGACCGAAACTTGTTTGTCTTAACACTTGTACAGAAACTAGCTTTAGACAAGAAACCATTTGGAAAGGTTTCTGCATGTATATTCTCTGCTGAGGCGAAAAAAACTGACTTAAAATTAAAATTATTTGATAATTAAATATTAAAATTATTTTTTTTTCTCTCATTTATTCCCCTGACAGTTTTTGTTGAACATCTCTGGTTTTCAGCATCATTTATTTAATTAATTAATTTTATTATAATTTTGGTTTTACGTGATAACGTTCCTTCTTTATTTATCATATTGTTTCCTTATTTTTTTTCCCCACGTTTTTATTTTGCATTCGCTATTTATTATAGTGGAGTTGACCTCCTTGTATTTCACTGCAGGATATAGTGTGACTATATACCTTGCATGTGACAGATAAAACCCTTGCATCATTGAACCCTTGAATATGTTTGGTACAAGGTGGCTCTCCGGAAGGATTGCTGGAGTCATGATGAGTAAGGACTGTTTTTCTAACTAGTAGGATAGTCATGTCTTTGCCATAGACATCAGAGTTCCCGTAATAGCCTTTTCTTTAAAAGTAGACAGAAGGATCGTATATGTGTTTAAGTGAATTAGAAGTATTTCATGGTTTTTGTGTATTAAAAGCCTACCTGGTAAATGTAATTGTGCCATATTGTATTTTCAGGACATAGTTTTTTTTCCCAGTTTGCACACGAACATGTCAGTGAGTATATCTGTGTATATTACACAGGTTAACTGAAACTTAATAAGAAGTGTAATGCATCTATGGGATTTAAAAAGTGGTGGAATGTTTTGCTGTCTGGAAATTTGCTGTTACTTGCACTGAACTACTTTTCAAATGCAGTTTTTATGAGTTAATTTAAGTGCTTTCAAGATGTGACGTGCTTTTAGTCTTGTTTCGGTTTATTACGCAAAGTGGTTTACAGGTCACTGTGACTTTATACGGAGATGCTAAGATTCCAAACTTAAATAAGTAAAAGCCTCCTATAAATGACATCTCAAATAAACCCTCTGAACAGGCTGCTGCTAGATTAGTTTTGTGGGCATATTTTCTTTGAGAGTGTGGCGTACTCTGTGAGGTATTTTGAATGATGGAAAATAAGCAGACATATACTACAAAATCTCATTTTATTGCACATAATCTCTATTACTCAAGTTATTTTAACAGGGTTTGATGTCAATGGCTAAGAAAGTCATCCAGGTAGATTTCATTTAATCCTTTCTGCCGGAAGCTTCTTTCTATACTACACTCTATGAATGATTTTCTGGTTTCCAGTCAGTAGTGGTCGGCATTGCAGATTCCTTGTCACTTTAGCTTAGGAGCTATATGCTAGAGACTAACTACTAGAAAATATAGCCCAATGATATCTATTCAGTTGAACCACAGAGCATACTTTCAAATAGCAACTGAAGATATGAATAGCATTGCATTTTTAATAATAACAAAGGGAAAAAAACAGACAGTGACTCAGCAGAAATAACTGAAAATCTTCTCCTAAATTACTGTATTATCACTGGAGACTGGGAGAAGAAATTATTAAGATCTTCAACATCTTCTACTATACTTTGACTATTCACTGTTCCTCCAAGACATAATGATCCATTTTTTTAAAAAACTTTCTGAAAAATTCAAAATATGAGAAGTACGAGAATCTCGTGACAGTAAGTGTATTGCATAGACTATTACAGTGATCTGAATGTGTATGAAGGAGATAAAATGTAAACAGTTTCATTATTTTATCAAAAATCAAGACACCACATATTTCTTTTTCATAATATAATCACTTATCTGATAAGTTATCATAAATATCTACAATGGCCTGTTTATAATTTAGTATAATTTAATAATTTAGTTGTCAAAGAACAGGAGAGTTTTTATGCTTCGTTAGCTGTATCGTTTAATAGGTTGCCTGCAGTTCTCAAATCTAGACCTTTAGGAGAACATTTATGGGGGACAATGTGATCATATCTGAATCGTTCCTCCATCTGCTGTCTGACACATAGAGATCTACATGGTGCAGGAAGAGAGATAGAACCAATTGCAAGAAAGACACGTCCTTCCCTAAATGACTCTAGGGGGCACTAGTGCAGTGGTCAGCCAAGAAACCCAGGCCAACTTCAGTCCTCTTCCCAGCTATATTCTGCTAGAATGGTTTTCCTCACAAAAAACCTGGCAGTTCTTGAGTGTTTTTCCCTTTCAGTATCAACAAGTTTAGGACTGAAGAAGATACATTGTTACCTCTCCTCCAGGTATACATTTTGGTTAGCATTAATGACTTGGGTATATCTAGAACCATGCAAATGTATTTTATAAGGTATTAGACTGGATATCACTCACCCTGCATAAGTGAGAAATATGGAGAATATAATAAAAATAAGACTACTGTCATTGTGCCAATAAAAAAAAGCTTATTTATAATAATATTATTCATCAGCAATGCCTGACATACCCCTATCTCAAGCTGACGTGATTGAAAATTTAAATTGTGTGTCAGAAACTCATTTGTAATGATCCCAACAAAATGGTCCCTAGTCGAGCTGAACAATAGGAAAATCTGTTCAATAGTGTAAAAAATACATGTATATATTGATTCACGTATTCACCGATAAGAGAAAGCCTTTTCAAACCAATATTTTCATTAATTAAACAGAATGTTTCTGCCTTCAGTGTGTGCAGCGGACAGAACATAAATTCACAAATGCAGAATGCTAAGTTTGAGATTAATGAAGGACTCAGTTAATAGCACTGTATTCGTCATTAATTTTGATATGAATGAGACTGTTGCTGCTGTATTTGCTTTTCTCATTATACTTAATTTGGTATTATAATTTTCTTTACTAATGAAAACAGGACCGTATCTCCTATGTCTCATCACCCTGTAAAATATCTGAATATGTATGAATGTATGTTAACATTCAGAAGCTGCCATGATATTTAATATATTTATAGCTTTATTTATAAAGTTCAATATGAAGAAAAAAATCAATGATGCTGTTATACATGCATAAATATTTGAGTTGAAAAAGATGCACCCCCTTTTAAAATAAGCCTTTCAAATGATTGTGCATAAGGCGAAGATCAGTGGATATATTTAATGTTTATAAGCAGCTAGAGGATATGGTTCCTGTTGTCCACAGACTGTAGCATTTGGTTACCTAATAAACATTTGTATTACAATCAGTTCAGTAAGACAGGAAATCAGAGGCGAATGTTACTGGAAACCACGTCTAGTAGCACCTGATAGGAGGGACAAGAGATCTCTATGAGAGATCAAGAGCACATCTCCTTCTCAGATTTGTGCCTTATAATGAGTGTGTTCTGATAACGAAGTTTCATCATCCCTTCAGAAAGAGATGCAAGTATTAAAACAATGAGTGCATGAGAGCATAAAATCAAAGGCACATATTCACCATGTGTGAAGAGACTGCTGTTAAAATTCACATACTGTAAGCTAAACTTATTTCCATAGAGATCCTGTATTTCAACCTTTCATTGAACTAACTGTGACCAAAAAAAAAAGATTCTGCCAGCGCCTGCACTAACACTATCATTTTGTAAAACATAAAAAGTAAGAAAAAAAAAATATCTGTGTAACTTATTAGACTTAGAAAATGTTCTAAGTACATTAGAGTACTGAGTACATTTATATATATATATATATATATATATATATATATATATATATATATATATATATATATATATATATATATATATATATATAATGACCAAATATTCTTTAGGAATGTAAATATACATTACAAAAACACAGAAAATGGTAAATAGCAAATGTAGTACATAGGAAATGTAGTATAACACAAGTTGCAATAGATAAATCCACAACTTAAACCTTACCTGTTGTATAAGGAAACAAAACTGCACATAGCATCCTTTAAAAAACAACAAAAATCCAGTTAAAAAGAATAGGTTGTGAAAAAGCCGGTTTAAGTCTTCAGTTCCGAGGATGGTAAAGCTTGCATTGAACACTAGCCTGTGCGAAGTATATTCAGCGAGAGGGAATCTGGCTGTTCCCGCGGCATATTGGCATATTGCTCACACAGAGACCACTACAAGTGTGAAGTTGAAGCTGCCTCTAGCTCCGCTTCAAAAGGGCACTGATGTCATTTGGGGGAGGGCTCCTCTCTCTCTCTCTCTCTCTCTCTCGTTTACTCTTTCAGGATCTGTAAAGAAACGACAGTTTGAATTTTGGACACTAGAGGGAGTGAAGGTAAACCGGACGACTACGGAAGAGTAATTCCAGCTTTTTTATTGTCCGTTTCAGAAATGTACGTCTTTAAAGTGGGCGTGTAGCGTGAAATGTAACAAATCTGCTCATAACACTAGATGGAATTACCCTGATTTTCAGTTATTTTATTAATGGTGTTAGGGAATGATTAAAGTCTTCCGTTTATGCTTACGGGTTTTCTCGGTTTTTAACATTCTCAAAACTGTAAGGGTATTTCCCAAAGCAGTCCATATACAGTACAGTGCACTTGCAAGGAGCAATAACTCACTCAAGACGTTTAACTCGTGCTTTTAAATGACATAATTCTGTCAATTAACAGGTTAGACATATTGCCAATGTGCCGGTACTCACCGGAGGTACAGTACAGTATGTTCCTTATCTAAAAAGTAGTCTTTCCCCGAGTTGCCAGTTCTTACGCACCTAGCGTGACACTCACGCTTTCTGACTCTCACAATCACGTAAAAAAAAAAAACTTAAGGCGATTCGATATTATTCCATTATAAACCTAAAATTAGCTATATAAAAAGCCTTGGGGGAGTTTGCAAACCATACAGACTATTTACATGGTAATAAAACTGTTACATGCATGTAAATGAGTGTGCAGACTTGTCTCGGATTGAAAATATCACACCAGCCATTTGATAAGAGTCAGTAATTCTGTTTTCCTTAGTATGTCGTTGACATAGATTGCACATTTTTTGTAGCTAACTGAATAGTATCGTGTAGCAAACTGAACATCATTCAAATCACCAATTTCAATATTCAGATGTTTCATATTGAAGTATATAAAAGATCACCTGCAATGATTAGACAACAGTCACGTTTGCATGTAACTTTTTGAGAAACATTTTAATTATAACGGTCTCACAAAATACTAGAATACCATAAAGAGAAATTAAATGTGCTATAAGGCTAAAGGTGAAGATAGAGTGCTGTGATTAGTATTCATGCCACCTTACTGGAAATCTTGTCATTCCTATCAGTCTAAGAGATTTCACCTGACGAGCAATTGATCAACATCATATAATCGGCACCATGGAGTGCACAATGCAACACCTTTAGAAAATTAAAAACAAATAATTATTGGGTGATTCCTGTTTTGGACCACATATTTGGCTGTCTGTTTTCTGAAAATTGGAATGATTGTATTTTATGGTTTAAACATTTTGTCAGGACTATACCATACTTAGTTATGAGGAATGTGTGTTTGCCAAGCTCAGGGGATGAAAATATTATACTTGTGGGATGTTTTTTGTATATATTTCTCCAGACCTTTCCCACCCTGTTAGGGACATGTACATGGTAATCACAGAGTTTAAATAATGTACAAGTCAAGCAATACTGAACTTTTCTGGGATACAATGTGTCCCTTGTGATATGATAAAAGTTTCATTCTTGTAGCATTTACAGTTTTAATTTTATGAAGAGTACAATGTCAGACTGATGGAATCTGTGCATTTTTTGTCCCCATTTTGTTGTCTTGTATGAGGAATTTTATTAATTAGAAATAAAAGTATATGTAGATGCATTATATGTACCTCATTTAACAAAACAATATACAAATATACCAAACACTTACTGTTGTGATTAGAATATTTTTTTAAATCATTGCCTAACAGGGTGGAATAGAATATAACAGGGTGGAACCGAGTCGGCCTCTTAACAAGTAGATTCAGATTCACAACAACAATACTACTCATACAACTAATAATAATAATAATAATAATAATAATATCACTGTAGTGACATAAATAATTAAGAAATACACTCATATAATAATAATAATAATTCTTTTTGATTATACCATTATTATTCATTATCATAAACAAGAAATACACTCAAATGATAACAAATCATTTTAATGAAAATAATAAATATTCTTGTACAATTTCTACTCAGTAGGCTGCATATCCCATACATAGCCTAACAGGGTGGAACCTAACTGGGTGGAATATTGCTAGCTAATTTAGCTCTAGCTCTTTGAGTGAGCAACATTTAGCTAGCACACACTCTACAGCTGATCAGCATTTAAATAGCTATTTTTAACATGTTTTAAAAACATATTTAGGTATATTTTCCAATAAATATTTCCCATAATATATACTAACAGGGTGGAACTTTAAGGGTGCCTCAAACCGGTGTGTAATATAAAATTGAGAAAAATACAGGAGAGAGTGGCAGTTAAAGCTTACGTTAGTCTTCCAGTTGAATTTCCCCCCAAACACAAATTATGTCACTTTGTGGAAATGGCTGCATGGATTTGTAATCTTTTTAGGGAGCCAAGAAACTAGAGGCTCACAGGGTGGAAAACGAATGTGGGGACATATAATATATTATATAATTACAGAAAACAAAATAAGTTTCACCAGATTTGTTTCTTTCTCTAAAGGTACAGTAGTATACCCTAGTCTATCAAAATAATAAAGAATAAGTTTTGGTTTTTATAATTTTATAGTTTATATTTACTGAGGAAATTGAATACATTGCATTTGGGACATGCTAAAATGAGCGCATACTCCAGAGAAATGGTGCTTTAAAGAGATGTAAAAAAATTAAAACAATAATTTATCTTTGTTAGAGCAATAGGAAACACCTAAACACATAATAAAATAGGTTTGTTATAAAGATTTGTCTAATTTTATAAAAGAATAAGAGCCAGTTTAACAAGAGGACATGAATATGTGGCCCAAAACAGGAATCACCGTATTATTATTATTATTATTATTATTATTATTATTATTATTATTATGCAGAACATTTAAGCAACAAAAAAATAAAATACGAAAACACAAAACATCAAGAAAATGAAGCCTAAATAAATAAAACAAACCATCTCCTTTTTTATTTACGTTTTTTGAAATGGTTTTGCTTTTTCTTATTGTAATTCATTTTGGACTTCAGGTACACCATAATTACGAGTATTGGTTGGACTGTTTTTCATGACAAGAGAAAAGCAACTTAATTAATTTTGGAATTATTCATGACTTTTGCAACTGATTATTTTGCTAATTGTAGAAAATTGTACTTGACTAAATATGCTGAAACTTTTTTTAGTGTGAAAGAATGAGGAATGGCTGTTCTTTTGTGAACAATGTTTGCTTAAATGTACAGTACCAATCAAAAGTCACCTGCATAGAAGAGTGATAGAGTGTCATATCACATGACCTGACAACCTGACCTAAACAGAGTACAAATGGTTTTGAAGGAGTTAACCAGTGAGTGAAGGAAAAGTGGTCAATATGTGCTCAGTATATATGTGGGACCGTCTTCAGGACAGCAGGAATAGCATCCCATGAGGCCATTTGATGAAACTGTTGTAGAGTAGAAAGTAGGGCCATCCAGTCTCTGTGGCAATAAGGGTTAAGGGCCTTGCTCAAGGCCTCACTGGTGGGGTCACTCTGCCGGCAAGGCGATTTGAACCAGCAGCCATCTTAGTCCCAACCTGCCCACCCCCCCAAAAAAAAAACTATATATATATATATATATATAACACAATAACTCCTCCTCGAGTCTGGGCCAAGAAACCCTGAAGGAATTCCACTGACCAAAGTCAGACAGCCTTGAGCAATGAGATGAGTCAGAAGTGGCTTTTTCAGTTATATATATAAAACTTAAAACCGTGCAGATCTGTGGCGGCCATATTGAAATACAATGTGTTTGCATAAAGACACTATAAATCTTGGTTAAAATTATATTTCATCACCTTACAATTTTTGTGACACGAGTGTAACATGTACCTGTAATAAAAAAGAAGGAACAAACAATTGAAAGTCAAGATTATTTTGAGAGAATGTCACTGAATTAGGTATTGCATTAAACACTTGTGTTTTATAGACAAACATTCTGTTTTGTACCTCCAGGATTGACGGAAAGACGTCAAAGAAATGATCTTTGACACTGTCTGAACTTTACTCTCGATTCGGCTGGTGAGCAGACCCAGTGTCTGCTCCTCTTTCAACTTCCTCCTCTTAATCTAAACTGGGTCTGTCTACTGCTCAGTGATTGACTTGCTCACCTTTCCTACAAAGAGGCTTGCAGCCTGTGAAGGGAGAAAGAAAACTCTGGAATATCAGGTTACAGTTTCTTTGGGGGCCTGCTCCGAGTATTGAGCATCTGAGACAAGCACTGTTGCTTCCCAAGTATCACGATCAGACCATCTCACTCATCTTGCCATGTTTTGACAACATCTTTGAAGACTTTGCATTTTGCATTGTCCCTGCCTCATTCTGGGAGTGAATGGACTGAAGCTAATATAATATACTTTGTTAAGTAGGATCAAGAGGATTTCATAGCCCCTACTATTAACACTGAAATATAATGTTGTCCAGCATGTCAAACATACAGTGGCTTTAATCACTGTGTAATCAGTACTGATATGTAATGATCAGCAGTGTTTGCACAAAGGTAAGTAATATTTTTTGATTTGTTTTGGGAGATGTTTTTCCTTTGTTAATAAGCAAATAATGCAAGATTTTTTTTCTGCCAAAATGTATAACTGTAATATTTCTGCTTGTTGAATTAATTAATTACATTTTTAATCACTTCATATCGTTGTAAGGGGTAAATTGTCATATGCAAATCCCCTACAATCATAAGATTGATCATTGAACGACAAATAGATCTTTTGTCTGTATGTAAAATAGAATTTATGATAAGATTTTGAGAACTAATAACATAAAATAAATGATATGGTAGTGCTTTCCATTAACTGCACCTTCATAATACTTTTATAATGCATTCATAGAACATTGATAATTTGCATTTAAATATACGTAACATCCTAACATACCTTAACAGCTAGAAAATACATTAATAACAAACGATTATACAATAATAATGTTTGTTATTAATGCACATTGCAGCTATCATGTGTTCTTCATTGAAAGTATTATGAATGTTATGCATTATGAAGGTGCACTGAATGTTCTATGAATG